TGTTCGATCGCCGTCTGGTAACTCGCGATGTTCGTCAAGCTTTGGAGGACAAAGTCCGTCGTCATTGACACTCCGCCAAGCATCATTTCGAGGTTGCCTACTGCTGTGCGGAATACCTCGAGAGTTTGGAGCACTTTGTGCACCGACTGCCTCACATTGAAGATTATCGCGCTCTGTCAGAGCGGCACTTGCCGCCGAGCAGACGAATACGTCACTTCGTGCGACGGTAGAGCGTCTTGCGCCGTTAAAGATGGAAGTTGTTGCACTCTGGTTCAGTTCGTTGAGCAGCATCACGGTGCAGGTTTACAAAAATGGATATACAGTCAACAATAAATTTTTGCCTCATTATTTCAAGCTTCCTCTCACTGTTTTAATCATGCTAAACCGTCAAGTACATATCAATTTATTATAATCCTGTATAATTCCGCAAATCTATGTCAGCTTCTGGGTGGCCAAGCGCCTTTTGGTGCCGCACCAGCGCCAACGTTTTTGCGTTTACTTGCGCCAAGTCCCGCATAAAACACCGGGTGGGTGTGCATTCTTCTCGGAAGGTTCAGCGTATACGCAAGGCCTCTCTAGGTCACGACCTTGAAAAATTTAATAAAACGTAAACGAAGCTTTGTCTTAAAGACAGCAGAGACTGCACATGTTGGAAGGTTTTTGGCATTTCATTAAACTAGGCCTCCGACCTCAACGTTTCCCAATTTTTTTCTGCTTCTTCCATCTGCATATTCTTTCTGCATGGCTTGGCTTTCAGCCATCGCATCGCAAACATGTCGTAAGACACTCAGTCTGGTAGACAGGAAGTCATCGACTTTATTACGCACGGTGAGGGGGCCGACATCAGCTTGCCGCTTGGCTATTACTTCCCCACCAAGCCCTAAGCCATGGGATGGCGGCGTCATCGGGACGCGAGGATAAACAAGCCCGTTCACGTAGAACAGCGTGCAGCTGGTAGATGAATGTACTGCATTGTTCAAAGCAAACTCAACGAGTGGCAACATTGCGCCACACCGCTTCGACATCTCAGCGCAGACGAATCGAAGAACGTCTTCTACGACGCGATTCACGCGCTGCTATTGACATAGTCAACTTGGCGCCCAACACCCTGAAGATTATAAACCAAAACTTCGCTGATCTCTATCATAGACAAGTACGTGCTGTCGAAAATCGCGATCGACAAACAGCGTTGGTGTACCCAAACCGTCGATGATTTCCGGTACTGCCGCAAGACGAGCCATCTTGCT